GAACCGTGCCATGAGATCCCACGTAACTCCACTACCAACCAATGAACACCGAGTGAAATTCTAAGAAAAAGAATTGCACCTTACCTCTGTACCACAGCTCCCCGGAATTGTCCACTCCCATAACTGCATCGGGAACCCGTCACCATTCTTTCACCATCAAACTCAGCGGCTTAGCCCGTTCGATCGGCCTGCATCCAGTGTTTCCTTTTTGCTACGTTACCCCACTCTCTATCTTGCCACTGCACCCATTAGCTCCTCTATCCTTGGCCGGGTTTCTGTTGTTGTTCACCGCCCTGTATCTCGTTGTCGAGGTTAGATGCGATGGTGATAGAGAGTGCTAAAGAACGGAAGACGATGGTTGTGGCTGCTGCTTCATGTACACATATATCTATCGGGTTTGGGGTCTTGGCCGAGCTATTTAATTGCCTAGGGTTGGGTAAATGGTGCCGAGAGTTGGTGTTAGGGATTGCTCCGGAAAATAACAAAGCGCCCGGTCCTTTTAGTACCCTAATTTGGCCCGAAGTTTAGCGTAAATGACAGTTCTGGCCTAATTTTTCAAATAAGACATTTATAGTCTACTTTTGAAAATATTGGACAAATTTGGCCCGAAACTTATGTTGACTTTTAATATTAACGGTCAAACATTTATTCTGTCAATGACTCAACATCTAGTGCTGAGGTGGCATCCACATCACTTATTAATTAAAAATTAAAAACAATTTAAATAAAAAAACTACGTTCCTTATCTTCTTCTTCTTCTCCTAAACTGAATTATGATTACTCTGATTCCTTCCTCTGTCGGACAACGAAACAAGTCCAAACCAAGAAGCAGATTGAAGAGCCTTCTTCTGGGTTCTTCTATAGAGAATCGCAGGGTGAATCTTTGCATTTTTAGACATTGGCGCTTGGGTTACTCCTTTCTTCCACCGGATCTGGGTTCATCGGATCTCGCCTTCCCCTCGCCACCAGCGGATCTGGGTTCATTGAAGGCGGAACCCGAGCGGAAAGGGAAGGTAAAGTAAAAGAGAAAGGGGAGGTCGTGACGCTAGCTGGGATAGCATAACGGGACTGTTGTGTGTTGTCGAACTCGCTAGGGGCCATGGCTGTGTTGGTGAGGCATCCTCCGGTTTCCGTCACCGATGATTAGAAGAAGAGAGGGTCGGTGAAGAAATGGATTCTCAGACGGAGATGCCATTGCTCCGGCAAGATGTCAATTCAGGTCAAGGAGAAGATGTAGAAACCAAGAACTCTGACGACGTCCCATTTAGCTACGAATTCCAGAGTAACGATGAGTGCTATGGTGAAGAGGCAGAGGAATAATCACCTCAATAATAGCCTCCAAAAAATCCTAATTTGTTCCCGAGTCGGGTCGTGAAGAATGATTGCAGCTCAGTCGCGGCTTTAGTTGATTGGCTAGAGCGACGGGAGGTTGAAATCCCTAATTCTGTACGAAGGATCTTGACAGAGACGACCAGGTTCATCATGCCGCGACCGCCGCCGCTCGTCCCAAGGTGAAGCGGCGATGGAGTTTCGTTAAGTACTAGGGTTTGGATTTGGGGTTTTGGGGATTTTTCTTAATTTGTTAATTTTTATTTTAATTAAATTATAAAATTTAAATAATATTATTTAATGACGTGGCATGCCACATCATCAGTTTTTTTGGTGAGTCACTAACGGAATAATGTTTGACCGTCAATATTAACGGTCAAAGAAAATTTTGTGCCAAATTTGTCCAATAGTTTCAAAAGTATGTCATAAATGTCTTATTTGAAAAATGGGGCCAGAACTGTCACTCACGCCAAACTTCGAGCCAAACTAGGGTATTAACCCTTTAGTTTAGTGTGTTACTTTATTGTATAAATAATAATAACTATTATTATGGTTATCACTTTGCAACCTTTCCTTCGGCAACGACCAATCTGGGCCGCATCGATTATTCAGATCTTGGTCCTTAACCCAATTTGGTTTGATTTGAGGTTTTTTGTACGTTACCATCGATCCAACTGTTCCTGTATTTTGGTGGAACTTGTACCCAAAGGTCGGGTGTTACATTTCTTCCACCCTTATAAAAATTTTGTCCCCGAAATTTGCTCGAAACTCATTCCTCTGTCAATATCATTCTTGTACTTCCTTTCCTCAAAAATTTATTATCACTATATGAACTTCACTGGTGTCCTTTGCTTGTCTCGTAGAGTTTACTAATACTCCTTATATTTCCTCTTGACCATAACAAGTACTCTCACCTAATTCGGTAGCCCGAGTAGCTTTGAGTGACTCATTGCCCTTTTAAATCCGCAACTTGGCCTGGGACGTGATGGGATAAAATTCTGACTCAATTTATTTATCCAACTCATTCGGTACTTGTTGTTGAACCTAAATAGAAGTCGATGTATTACAATCCCAAAGCGAGCTTTCACCATCACCTGCTAGAGGAGCAATATTTAGCTAATGCGTGCTTTCGTTTCATGTCATCAACTATCTAAGTAAGAACATAGACGAAGTAAGAATAACACTTACTTAAGTGCGGGCTTCTTGAGCCGTAACAAAAATATCTATAGTATTGGAGATCTAAACAATCAAACATTCACTCTAAGAATGTATAGGAGGATGATCATTCCTCTCATACATGACTAGATCAATAGCATATCACAAAAAAGTAGTTTTCTAATATCTTATATGATGGTAATGACTGGTGCACTCCAGGAGTATACCATACTCCATGTGATTGACCGTTAGATCTCCTTTTTTGAGCTCCGGCCAATCTCAACGGTCAATTAATATTTTTTTTATTAAATTGAACTTCGGGTTTGAGTTTAGAGAATTGGTGTCTGGCGTTTTTCCATTAAAGATTAGGGTATAATATCATATCTCAAACGTATAGTAGGCGTCACCAGTCTGACCCCGTATATGATACTCTAGACGTCACATTTAGTAGAATTCAATAGAGTCATAAACATCAAAATCTAAATATCCATGGAGACATAAGTATTGAAATACTCAAGCAACCAAAGAATAGCATAACATGAAATCATGGAACAAGATAATCATATTATAAAGAGTTCACATTCCTACACAATCAATTAGAACTAACTATACATAAAAGAGAAGGAGTGTACCATCATAGATTATGGCATCATCTCCTTTACTCGCCCCCTCCTTTGGATGCTAGACTCTGCCACTTAAAAGAGTGCTTACAAAAGATTTGAAGTGATTTTCGCAGTGTACTCTACAATCGAGCCATAGCTCCCTAGTTATACTAGTTACAGGAGAGGACTTTCTAGTCTTTTCCCCACTAAGTTGAACTAAAATCTTGTGTGAGTGGGACATGGTTTTCTTAGACTTAGGGACGAAGTAGATGCTTATGGAACGTGAAAACATTACGGAAGCAGAACGACGTTACCCATCACCACCTTGTCTCATGGTGGGTTGGGTTGCTTGTTGTGCCCATGTAACCTTCTCATGAAAATTGGGTTGTGGTTGTTAGAATTTTATGGTGGTTGTCTTGGATAATGTTTTTAGTTTGGGCTCAGTTTCTCCAATTGACTCCTCTTGGGCTATAGTTGATACTTCCAGAAGACTTTCCTTTCATCAAGCTTCGCCTTATTGTTGAAATACCTCTTAAACTTCCCAAATTTTCTCCTTTGATTCTTTATAATTAGCCAAGTTTTGATCCAAAGTATCATAGATTGTGTTTTACCTTGAAAAACACATAAATATACCAAAAAAAGTTTAAAAGAATACACAAACAATCTAAATCTAATAAAGGCTCATTAATCAAATAGTTATGATATTTATAGTAAATTCAGTAAAAAATGTATCAAATAGCGGAGTGGTAAACACTATAAATGTAGTGTTATCATATAACATAAAATAGATATATAATACACTACTTTATGATTGAATTTATCACTAATCATAAACAATTTCAAATCCATATCATTCGTCACTACAAATTCTTACAAATCATTCAAACTATCTCACAAAATAAATCAAGTTTTTTATTTATCAGTTTTTTTTTAATTGCTTTCGAGGATTAGAACTCACGACCTTGACCTCTCACCTTCCCACTAGTGAACACAATAAACCACATAAAGCCTACAATGAGGCTGTAATATGAAGAAAATGAAACAAATATATAAAATTAGTAATTCATATTTGGTGATCTTAGTTTCCATTAAAGTATTTATTTTTCGTAATTTTTTGGTGGTTTAAATGACGAACAAGTGAGGCAGTTAAAACAAGGTAGTTCATCTGATTTCATGTCAATTCCTTAAAAATTGTTCGATTCATCCTCTTGCCATTCAAAAAATAAATTGGACCGCTATTTTAACTAATATGATAGTTCTACTCATCCAACCGTTGATCGTGTTCGGTTGTTGTAAGAATGCGTGTTACCCAGCCAGAGTGCATAAAACCGATCCTCATGAATTTTTCTTAATATTTCCATGTCTTACCAACTCGTTTGACAATAACTGACGTGTTAGTCCATTATTAGTGATGGCAATTTCAACCCGCCCCGCGGGTATTACCCGACCTGACCCGCGATGGGGCGGGTATTACCCGACCCGCAGTAGCGTGGGGCGGGGCATGGGTATCTACTTCCGACCCGCCCTGCCCCGCCCGCCCCATTCTAGACTCATTTTATCTCAATTTCTTACAATATCTATACATATTTCTCCTATTTTGACTTTTCTTCAACTAGTTAGTGTCGAGCTTTCAACTTGTTAGGCTCAATTATCCATTCTATTATCAATATTTTTCATTCTTAAAGTGTTTTCTCCTACGTTTTATTGTAAAAAGTAAAATTTACTTGTATTTTTTTTCAACAACATGTAAGAATGGGTCGACCAGCCACCGTTCCGTACCCGCACGAGTTTTACCCGCCCCGACCCATAATAGCATGGGACGGGGTATGAAAATTTAAGTACCCGCCCCGCCCCATTGCCATCACTAGCCATTATTAATGAAGCTTAATCGGATGATGGTAGCTGGGACGCAGTCAGGCAGTGGATGTAAGTACATAAATCACTAGTCCGCCACTCCACCAAGTAGGCCCAACCAAAAACTCAGAAGGTGGAGGAGAGACGGGGGAAAAAAGAAAAAAAAAAGAGAGCTCCGATATCACTCTCACCGCTAAACGTCAAAATATCAGGCCGCAGCCTGCTGCTGCTGCTGCTGGTGGCCGGCAGTCCTCTTTCTGCTGACCGGATTTCCCTTCTATATATAGACTCGGAGCAATCGGGGTGGCAGGGGGCAGAATTCGATTTGAATTTTAACACAAAATGGGATCCTCCGAAGGAACGTCGTCGACTGCAGCTGGTTCAGGCATTTCAACGAACACATGCTGGGCACCGGCGGAATCGGCGCATCACTTCGTGCTGGTCCACGGGATCGGGCACGGGAGCTGGTGCTGGTACAGAATCCGGGCCCTGCTGGAGTCATCGGGACACAGGGTGTCGTGCGTCGACCTCGCCAGCGCCGGCGTCGACCGGACCGACGCCAACACGCTGGAGTCTTTCCAGGAATACAACAAGCCGCTGATCGACCTGATGGCGTCGTTGCCGGAGAAGGAGCAGGTGAAGATAGATTACCATCATACATTTGAGTTGATTAATTTAATTTAATTAATCGGCGATGATCAGAAGAATTGTCGTCGGCGATGATGGGTTCGATGAAATTGTTTTTGGAGTTGGTGGCAGGTGCTGGTGGTGGGGCACAGCGCGGGCGGGCTGAGCGTGACGGAGGCGAGCCACAAGTTCCCAAGCAAGATTCGGGTGGCCGTCTACCTGGCCGCCACCATGCTCAGGCTCGGTTTCTGTACCGACCGCGACGTCCTCGATGTACGTTCTTCTTGTCTCCTCTTCTCTTCTCTTCTCCACCCACCTCATTTTTTTTTTTTACTCCCATCTCAACGTTTCTTTTCGTTCGAGCAGTCTCAAAGATTAACCGTTCATATTTAAGATAACAATGGTTACACGTAACAAAATCTAAATTCAATTGGATTGGTGGATTTATGGATTGCTTATTAATTATAGTTTAGTATTTCTATTTTTAATATTTATAATTTGATACTTAAAATTTTTATCTTTCAGTGAAATTATCATTAGAAAATTAAGTTTCTGGCATCTAAATTGTTTCATTATGATATTTTAGTTTCTAAACTTTTCAAAATTTTCTTATTGATCCAATATTTTTAGATACCACTTGAATCAATCAATTGAATCCATGGATCCACCAATCATTTGAATTCATGGATCCATGAATTCAATCTATTTTTCAACTCTAGATTTAACCGATATAATTAGAAGAAGCGGATGCGATATCTTATAGTAAATAAGAACAAATCCGACAGAATATAATTAATTCAATAATGTACTTTCCAAAATCTTCTTATTTATCCAACATCGTTCAAATTTTGAAATCAAACAATCTTTCAACGAACATATGTGAGATCAAGGGAGAATTTAGGGTTGAAGTGTTGAAAATTTTAGAATGGCGAGGATCACGTTTGTTGTGGGCCGGCCGGGGGATGAATGAAACTACGGAAGAATTTTGGGGATGAGAGTGATAGGAAGAATTGCGTTTGCGTGCCAACTGTCGTACTCGTACAGACAAATAAACCACACTACTCGCTGGCTGCTCCGTTGAAATTATTGATGGTCACTATAGAGATTCTTGTTTGGTATTGTTGTGTGTGTTCTTGCTAGCTGGTGGTGTCTGGGTTTTATCTTGCTATGCCTGCCTGCCTGGCTTGCAATTGCCTTTGTTATTCTATACCTTCTTTTCAACCTATGTTTATGTTTTTTGCATTTGTATATATGGATGTACCTATTACTAAAAAACTAAAGGGTTGTTGAGTTTGTATCCTGATTATGAATGAGTCGAGCAGAGTCGGAATTTTTTTCATGTGACTAGAGTTTGACAGTAAAAAAGTAGTAGAACTGAATCTCAATTCGAGCTTGAAACAAGTTTTAAATACGAGTTTCGAGCTTGGTTTGGATTCGGTTCAATAATCGAGTTTAAACAAGTCAATCTCAAGCTTGGTGTGACTAGACTTTTGTTGTCTACTGATTAACTAACTTCTACAATACTTTTTTCTTCTTCGAAAATTTTATTTCTCTAATTTATTTCTTAATGCTTGAAACTAAAATTTTCTTTGATACTACTTAGCATTACTCCAAATTTATATCTCATACGTGGGAAAGCTAGCTAGCTACAAACTCGGAGCATGGGATATATGTTATCATTGTCATATTATCACGAGGATGATCCACTGCAAATGACAACCAAAAAAGAACTAATAAAGATGATTCATGTGTGGTGAAAAAAAGTTCACAGTTCGTGCATCTAAGTTTCTTTTTCTCTTTACGTTGTGCATAAAAACTAGAGGTGATCAATCAATGGGGGACTGTAACAAAGAGGCAAAGCACACAACTTTGCATCACTTGTCTTTTGCTTTGCAGGCATCGCCTTTTGGACCTACCAACCTATCCTGAATTCATAGAGGCCTTACAGTATTAGATTCCATCAATGAACAGAATCTGATGATGGATGAAAAGTTACATCAGCTTCAATCATTGATCATCATCAATCAATGATTCAATAATGCACAATTGTCTATTTATTTACTTTCTGGTCCCTGAAATTTACTCCAACATTCAATCTAGTCTACTTTCTTCTGGGAGGGAGACTCCTGAGTGTTGCAGAGGCTGATCTAATCTACTCAATCAAACTAATCGATCACTTAACCATTAATTATTATAGATTATAATATTAACATTGTGTTGGTACAGGGAACTCCAGACCTATCGAGATATGGCGAAAAGGCATACGAGCTAGGGTTCGGGAAAGGAACCAACAACCCACCAACATCAGCCAAGGTGGCGACCCACTTGCTCCGCGAGGTGGTTTACAACACCAGCCCACCGGAGGACTGCACCTTGGCAGCCATGCTGCTGAAGCCGGGCCCCATCATCGCCCTCCGATCTGCTCGGTTCGACGATGATGATGGGGTTGCGGTGGAAAGGGTGGAGCGGGTTTACATCAAGACGATGCAAGACAACGTTGTGAAGCCGAAGCAGCAGGACGCCATGATCGAGCGATGGCCTCCTTCTAAGGTGTATACACTGGATTGCGACCATAGCCCTTTCTTCTCTTCGCCTTTCCTGCTCTCCGGTCTCCTCCTCAACATTGCTGCTGCGGCAGGGAGTAGTAACTAGTTGAGCTTCGAGCTTCTTCCATGGGGATTGCTCAATTGTGTTCTGTTTACGTGTATAATTTGTTTGGTAAAAAAAAAGCGGATTGGAACTTGCTTATTTGCTAATTGAAAAACCTTATGGAGATGCAGGGGATCGAACCCTGTACCTCCCGCATGCAAAGCGGGCGCTCTACCATTTGAGCTACATCCCCATTTGTTTGCTTTGGGTGTTTTGATTATTAATATAGAACTCTTCGGCTACGCTCTAGGTGTTTTAGACCATGTTAAAGTATAGAAAGTGATGCTTATATGACAAAACTATTTCTTGTGATGTGTAGATGTCATAGGATTTCTCCGAATTCTTCTATTCCAATAACACGTACGAAGGCAGATGACGTATGTGTAGGGCTGGTACCGGTATTTGAGATATATCAATACCGTACTGAATTTGTCTATATTTGGTATTATCGAATACACGTATTATTTTTTGGGATTGAGATTGCGAGCTAAATGAAAATTTGAAAGCTAAACCCTGAAATTCTTATTTCTAAATCCTATAAAAATTGGTAAATCGTACTCTGAACATGAATGTTTGTAGAGGTGTCAATCGGGCGGGTTCGGGCGGGTTCGGGTTGGGTTCATTCGGGTTGCGGGTTGGTCGGGTTGCAGGTTGATCGGGTTGCGGGTTTATCGGGTTGCGGGTTGATCGGGTTGCGGGTCAATCGGGTTGCGGGCCAATCGGGTTACGGGTCAATTGGGTGCGGGTCAATCGGGTTGCGGGTCGGGCGGTTCGGGTTGCGGGTTTTACCACTAAAAAAAAGAGGAGGTTTATGTAGGATTTTCGCTGCCATATTCCGATCTTAAGCAAACTATTAGGGTTTTAAATTATTTGGATGGGTTTGAATTGATATTTACAAAATCAAATTATATGAGTTAAGTGATTAAAATGATTAACTGAAAAAAATGTATAGCTTAATAGCTGTCAAGTTTAACTTTCCATTTATGGAGTGGCAAGCAAGCGGCAAGCAGGTAAATGACTAGATGGGAAGGTCAAAATTTAGGGTGCAAAAATTGAAAATTTAGGGTGCAAAAATCCAAAATGGCCGCCAATCCAAAAACTGAAAAGCTAAAAGGCCCGCCACTCCAAGAGACAAAAATGAGATTAGTGATTATCAATGGTTCCACCTTTAAATATAGGGTTGGTTTGGATGGATCAATCAAGAAATGAGTCAATTTGATCAATTGTCTCATTTCATAAATGAGGCAAATAAAACGAGTTAATTCGAATTATTTGCCCCCACCCCTAGCAAATTGAAATTGACTCAAAACGAATCAATTCAAAATACCTCAGGCAGATTGATCCATCCAAATTTTTTGCAGGCAAACGAGGCAATTTGGAAAAAATGTTGTGAGTTCAATTGTAACTTTACTCGATAACATATAATCTAAACTCTAGATAATCTCTACCCTGAACCCCAAATGATTTTATTCATGAACATGTGTTAATAAATAACTTGATCCTTATTATTTACGATTTTGACTAATCTTGTTTAATACATTAACCCTAACCCATTACCCTAACCATATACCCTATACGTCGACTCTATATCATATACCCTAAACCCCTAATGGTTTGATTCATGAACATATATTAATAAGAAAACTTGATCTTATTAGTTATGATTTTGACTCATCGTGGCCAAACCATTAATACTTTATACTCTAACCATATACCCTACAAGTCGACTCTATAACCTATACCCTAAACCCCTACTGGTTTGATTCATGAACATATGTTAATAAGAAAACTTGATCTTATTAGTTATTATTTTGACTAATCGTGGCCAAACCATTAAGACCTTATACCCTAACCATATACTCTATAAGTCGACTCTATAACCTATAAGTTGATCTTTTTATTAATTTTTTGTTTTTATCATTGTTGACTAATGGAACGACGGCGTTTTTTTACAACTATAATTTTTGTTACTGTTGGACTCATTTAATGTTATTTTTCAATTCTCATACCGAAATTTTTTGGCTCCATAATCTCAAAATTTTGCCTCCAATTCATAAAATTTTGGCTCTTCAGTCTTCCCCATTGTGGATTCTGCCGCCAACTAAAAGTCCTAAATTTTTTGGCTCCATAATCTCAAACTTTTCAAGTGACCCGCCCGCCTTCATACTTTTGCCTTATCTTTTAGTTTATATTTTTATTTTAAAATTCTATGATAACTTTACCAAGCCCCAGCTTTCTGATTCCAGCTCGCGCTCTCGTTCCGTCTCCCGTTCGAGATCTCCCTCGCGGTCGAGGTCGATCTCCTCTTCTTCTCCGTCTCGCAGTGCCAGCTCCGGCAGCCGCAGTCCCCGTCCTCCACGAAAGAGGTAGCCGCAGTTTCTTCTCGCCCGTTCCTATTTCTGTCGCTAGCAGCCTAGCACTGAGTTCCTTTGAATTTCGCAGTTCCTCTACCTTGCATGAGTGTATTGGTTATGCGCATTGAAGCTTTAGAAGCATTCCCCTAATTCTACAGCATCGTCTTAATTTTTTTAATGTTTTTGTTCACTTGCACAGCCCTGCCGAGGTAGCTAAACGAGGTCGCAGTCCGCCTGCACAAGTGAAGAAGGCATCTCCGCCACCAAGGTCAGTCTGCTTACCAGTGCTTCAACCGTGGATAGTTTCATTAGCATTTGCAAGCTTCCCTCGTTAATCATTATGCTGCGGGAGTCTGAGAATCCTTACTTGAGGCGGAATACAATTGTCCAAATTTCCAGTAGACATGACATTAGGACAATGTAATAGTTTTGAGTTTTCCTTCTGATGATATGTGATTTCGTAGGTTTTGTTTAATTAACCATTCTGTGAACGTGTTCTCTACCAATGGTTACTTGTTGGTATTAGGAGCCAGCAGTTAGGTACTCGTAGAGTCTCTCTGGTTAAGCTTTTCCCATAAAGGAAGATGTCTTTTTGAGAACCTGTTGGATGGCTCACGTTTCCAGTCTAATGCTCTATTACGCAATGACTCCTTTGTTGATTGATTCTGATGGAAGCTTACCTGGAGTTATTACTTTATTTCTTCCAGGAAAGCCTCTCCAGTTCGCGAGTCTCTTACTCTTCATGTTGATTCGCTGAGTAGGAATGTGCATGTAAATGCAGTTTTATTAATTGAAAGTATGGAAAACAGAGGGCAGCACTCGATGATATATATTTGTGAGATATTTGTTTCTCTAGTTTACTCATTAACATTTGATTTGTTGTTCACTTTGGTGAATTTGCAGACATGGAATCTAATAATGCGGGAAGTGGTGTTGGTAGTACTACTGGTTCTAGCCCTTCTTCACCCCCTAAAAAGAAGGCTAATTCTCGCCGCACATCGGAAGTGTGGGACGATGTAGAACTATTTAATGTCGTTGATGACGATGGAGTTCTTCTGGAGAAAGGAAAGTGCAACTTTTGTGGGAAGATATATAAGGCGGAGTCAAGGCTTGGCACATCTACTCTGAAGCGACATATTGCGGTATGTAAGAAACTCCACCAACCATCAGATTTAAGGAATGAGTCTATTGGTCCCAATTGCATAACTCAGGAAGGTTTTCGTGAGAAATTAGCTATATGCACAATTTCACATGATTATGTTTTTAGATGTGTTGAACATAAAGGAAATAGAGATGTGCATAGCTATTTGAATGGTCAGGCTAAACCTATTTCAAGGAATACACATAAATCTGACATTGTGAAGATCCATGAAAGAATGAAGGAGGAGTTAAAGTCTAGCTTGCAAAAGATTTCTAGTCGTATTTGTTTGACTAGTGATATGTGGACTTCATTGACAACTAGAGGATTTATATGCTTGACGGCTCATTATGTTGATTATGAATGGAAACTGAATAGCAAGCTATTGAGCTTTACTCATCTTCCTCCTCCACATTCCTCTTATAGAGTGAAGACGACCATTTATCGTATGCTCAGAGAGTGGGGTATTGATAACAAGATCTTCTCTATCACCTTGGATAATGCTAGCAATATGACTAACATGCAAAATGAATTACGTGATCAGTTGAATGGACAAAATGGATTGTTGTGTGATGGCAAGTTCTTTCATATACGTTGTTGTGGGCACATATTGAATCTTATTGTCCAAGCTGGATTGAAGGTGATAAAAGATGGTATTAGATCTGTGAGAGAAAGTGTAAAATACGTAGAAGGATCTGAAGGAAGGAAAATTAAGTTTAAGGAATGTGTTGAGCAAAGTGGGATGAAACAAACAAGGTCTTTGTGGTTGGATGTGCCAACAAGATGGAATTCAACTTATAATATGCTTGAGAGGGCAAATCATTATCGTCAAGCATTTGTAAACTTAGCAAGGATGGATTTCGAGTATAATGAATGTCCATCATCTGAAGATTGGGAGAAGATAGAAGTGCTTATAAAATTCTTGAAGCCTTTTGATGAAATCACAAAGTTATTCTCTGGAACTAAGTACCCGACTAGTAATCTGTTTTTTGAGAATGTTTGGAAGATTCATCTTGAGTTGAGGCTTCTTTGTACAAGTCTAGATGATGATATACGTGCTATGGCAAATGCAATGATGTTGAAATTCTTGAAGTATTGGAAAGACTACAACTTGGTGCTTGCTTTTGGGGTTATTTTGGACCCTCGTTATAAGGTTGCTTTTGTGAATTATTGCTATGAAAAGTTGGGTGGAGAATATGTTTCAAAAGTCGAGGATGTTGTGGATGATTTGGAGTTGCTTTTGGAAGAATATAAGAATCAATCGGCCACTTCAGCTACTCAAAGTGGTGTGTCTATGACTTCTCCAAGCGTTCCCTTGGACAATTACACTGCTGTAAGTATTTGTTTGTTGCTAACATTTATGAATTATGTTCTTGTGTTTTGGTCTTTGGTTAATTATTTGTTTTGTTTCATGTACATGCTAACTGTAAAGAAAATGATGAACATGCTTATGTGTTAATATCAATGATATCTATATTTATTGTTTGTAGGGGTTTTATGCATCCAATATCAACCACAATACGTCAACTAGTTCTGAGTTGCAATTGTATTTGGCTGATCCTTTGATACCTGCATTTGGGGACATTGATGGAGTCTCTAAGCTACTTCCTTTTGATGTCTTGCAATATTGGAAGGACCATCAATTTCGATTTCCTCACCTCTCTAAAATGGCAAAGGATGTACTTTCTATTCCAATTACATCAGTTGCATCAGAGTCTTCTTTTAGTTTGGGAGGAAGAATATTAACAAAATGGAGAACTTCGATTTTGTCTGATACTCTTGAAGCTGTTGTGACAACTCGTAATTGGATACGAGGATACCAAATGGGTAAGAAAAAACAAATTGTTATATTTGTACTGAACAAACTATTCTCTTTTCCTTATTATTTTCTTTTCACTGATTAATTGTACAGATGACGATGATGAAGATACGAGGGATGATGGAGAAGAAGTAAAGCTTCTAGAGTGATCGTCATTTGGAATGTCAATTTGTTTTTTGGACATGTTTTATTGATATTTGAGGTCTTGAGACAATATGAACTATTATGAGTCATGTATTCTTGTTATGATCAGACTTTTGTGAACTATTATTAGTCTTTTTTATGACAGGAGTTAAATTATAATTATCTTATTATGCTAAACTAATATTTTATAATCTTATGTGGACTATTAGGTTGATGATGTATCTAAATCAATATATTTGATGATGTTATATGGGTTATATACATTAATTATTAATGATGTAATGATCAGACTTTAGTGAACTAGGATTTCAAATGTCAACTTATAGTTTATCTTCATCGAATTCCTTCTATTATAGATGGGCCGCGGGTTGGTCGGGTTACGGGTTCGGGTTAGTCGGGTTGCGGGTTAATCGGGTTGCGGGTCGATCGGGTTGCGGGTTGGTCGGGTTACGGGTTCGGGTTAGTCGGGTTGCGGGTTAATCGGGTTGCGGGTCGATCGGGTTGCGGGTTGGTCGGGTTGCGGGTTGATCGGGTTGCGGGTCGATCGGGTTGCGGGTTAATCGGGTTGCGGGTCGATCGGGTTGCGGGTCGGGCGGGTTACGGGTCATTGACTTTTAGTCAAATCGGGTTGCGGGCGAGTTGCGGGTCGGGTTGATCGGGCGGGTTACTCGGGTCGGGTTACATTTTGACAGCTCTAAATGTTTGCGTGCCTAACATAATATATGTGATCAAATTCATAGTAAAAAATTAAAAGTTAATTTTTCATTAGGTGATATATTATTTGTATATAGTACTCGTACCATATTGTATAGTTCATAACTTTGTAATTAGTTTTTATCATAGCATGAATACAAACAAAGTTTCCATCATATTGTTTAATAGCATATATAACTTAATTAATATATTATACATATTTTTCTTGCAAATAATTAGTGAGAATATAACCACCACCAAATCAAGTTATGATGTGAGGTATATAATCTAATCAATTTACAAGTCATTCCAAGGCAACTTGGAAACTGTAGTGAGTTGGGCTCCACAAACTACATGGTCAATCTAGCTTGTGACTTCTAAAGGATTCAACTCAGAGAATGAGCTAACGAGCAACATAGTCAACCTAGCACGCGAGCTATAATCAAGTTAGCTCGTGAACTAACAAGCTGAGCATGACCTAGGTCAAACTTAGCTCATTAAATAATGAGCTAAATTGTAGATTAATCATTAACTAACGAGTCAAGTACTTACTAAATATTTTCTCTATACAAACACCAAAATGCTCGAGATCAGGATTATCCATTTACATGCCTAATGCTAGCTTATCATACGTGCATAGTTATACATATTTATCCTTTTATCTTGAACGTTTCTTGGTCATTTGGTGTAAAAACAATCTCTTCTAAGTAGATTTTATGCTAGGTTGTGTTCTATTGACATATTTCAAGTCCTAGTAAATAAATGAGACTTAGGAGAGAATTTCGGGACATTTGAAGCTCGAAAGGGACATAGAGGGCCAAAGAGAGAAGTCACAGTCAACAAAAGAGGGGTCAAGCCATGACTTTTCTTAATCTTAGACCATAAAAATTAGAGGAAAATCACGGTTAGCTACCAGAGGATTACATCTTTGTAAATGTCAGTTAAGACCGTGCATTACAGATAGAAGCATCCGAAGAAAGTCACTGGAAGACAATGCAAAATAATGACCGTGACTTTCATAGTAGTCATGACCATGATTTTCCCTGAAGTGCATTAGTGAAATGGTGCGTCTTTAGAAATCACGGGTGACACTTTAGAATCACAATCATGATTCTTGTATTCATTATGCCACTGATGGGTATAAATAGGGCTTTTTTTGAAGAGAGAACTTGGTTTTTGGACTGAAAATAGAAAGTGGGAGAGCCCTAGAGAGAGTACGAGTTTAGAAGTTTGGGGCTACTTTGATGCGGTTTCTTCAATATTGAAGCTCAGGAATCAAGTTCAGAAGTGGAAATTGAAGATTGGAAGAAGAATCTCATTATCACATGAAGTCTTTCATCTTCTCAGTATAAACAAAGAGTGAACATGACTTAGAGAATCATCAATCATTAATTTGGCTAGTGACTAGTCAATTTACTTACTCTTTGTTAGCTGTAGTTGTTTAGATTAATTGTTTATACAAAATAATATACCGAACCTGAATAATAGTACATCTAGAGAATCAGCATTATACAAAATAATATACCGAACCTGAATAATAGTACATCTAGAGAATCACCATTTGATAAATAAAACTTACTGTCACTATATTACTTTTCTTTCTGTTACACTTGGCATATACGGGAGTGTTAGTTTTAGCGGATAATTCAATTTCTTTTGTATCTCCTTTTTACACAAAATAAAACTTATTGTCACTATATTACTTTCTTTCTGTTACACTTGGCATATACGGGAGTGTTAGTTTTAACGGATAATTCAATTTCTTTTGTATCTCCGTTTTACCCAAAAACTTCTTCAACACCAACAAAACGGGTAAATTGCAAGGATGGTCACTGAAAGTACTAAAAAATTCAAGTTTGGTCACTAAGTGGTCGTTTGGTTTTTTCGATTGTTAAATTGATGTATTGTGAACAATACATGCATTATATTATACATGTATTGTTGAATTTGGTGTATTGTAGATTACAACGTTTGGTATTTGTGATTGTGTTTTCAATAGTTAAAAGGGAAAGTAACTTTTTAACAAAAATGTCATTTGTATCCCTCATTGCCAATGCAAAAAGTAACTTCGAAAGGTTAAAGTTGGAAGAAAAAGAAAGAAAACAATCTCAACAAGTACAATCTCAACAATCTCAGCTAAAAGCTGTGATTGTTTCTGTCACATGAAGTAAACAATACATGTATTGTCTGTGTATAGAAAATCAGAAAAACGATGAATTGTAAACAATACAACCATTGTAACAATCTCAACCAAACAATCACAGAAATCAAACGACCCCTAAAAGTATTTTATTCCGTTGATAGTCACTGAAAGTGGTTAAACGTTTCATGTTGATCATTCTTTGTTAGTTTCCGTCAACCTCCGTTAAAATCGTCAGTTTTTTGCTGACGTGGCTAACAAAAGTGCATAATCAGCCTAATTTAACCTGCTACATCATAATTTCCGACCCGCTACATCAGAAATCCTGACCCAAGCCCTACCCATAACCCAATCTTTCTCTTTTGACCAATCAAACCCATTAACCCCTTTTCCCACCCAAAAGCCATCCCTGTCACTGCTTCAAGATAGAACTCGTGACCCCCTTTTTCCCCATCTCCCCGTCTGTGTTCCCAGATTCTTCGACTAGGTAGAGGCACAAGATAGAACCCACCAACATTTGCATATAACGCCAACCAATGCTTAGTTGTTCCTCTCACATTGGGAATTAGGGATTGGTATCGGCACTTGGGTATGAAATGGGGGCCGCCACAAGAACCCACCCAGCGAGATGATGAAGAAGCCGACTGTGGGTTTTAAATCCCTAAGGGTGCTGTATTTCGACGAGGTTGGTGTGGTTCGTTTGTTTGGTGGTTGGGCTTTGTGATTTAGGGTTTTGTTTTCTAGGTTTTCATAAGGGGTGGGGTTTTTAGGATTCAATTTGACTGGGAGGGGATTTCTGTTGAAAGTGAAAGTTTGGATCGGACAGTGAGTTTTTTTTGTTGCAATCTTAGTCACTAGTTAACTTGCTTCTCACTTTGGAGGGTATCAAATGGCGTATAAGAACATGCACACTACAACAAAATCGGCTTATTAGGACAAAAAATTTATTTCGTCATTTTCTGTTTGTCACAATAGGTACGATGATATGACAAAAATAATATATGTCCTATTTGGTATGCCTAATGTGACAAAAAAAAGTGTTGTCAGAATAAGTCGTCATTTAAAGTGAGTAATGTTACAAATAATTCGTGTCACAATTAATTTTGTCAAAATAGGAATCTCATATCGGGATATAAGAGACACAAATGTGACAAATTATATTGTCATAGTAGTTTTTGTCATATTATGCCTTCCTGAATTGTTTAAATGACAAAGTATTTTGTCACAATAAATAACAATAATCCCACGGCGAGCTGACAAAGAGCATGTTCGTCATAATATAATGGTTTTGGCTTTGACAAAATGCATGTTCGTCATAATATAGTGGTTTCATTTTTGACAAAAGACATTTTCGTCAAATTTGCTTGTGTTAAACTGAAATCTCGTGTTAGATTGAACCAATCAACGTCGACACATTTTTTCCCCACCAAAATTTCAGTCCCGCCCAATTTTTTAACCGTCCACTTTTCAATCTCTCCCAATTTTTAGACCCCAATTCCAGCCCTCCCAAAACTTAAAATTCTCTCTTCCCCAACAAATTTTTCATTTACCCTAAGCTCTCACTCCTTTTCCTCCTCTTCTCTTCTTTTCATTTACCCTAGGACCCAGTACGTTTCCCGATCGATCTCACTTCTTCCCCCTTTTAATCTCTTTTCTTTGCCTCTTAATTTTTTGTTTTTTGTTTTTCTTTTCTTCTCTCTACCTTGGCTTTGCTCGTCCCACGACGACTAGAGCAATGGTCGACAACGATGAGTGACAGGCGAGAGGGCAGAGCGGCGGGGATGGAGGCGACGACGAAGCGGTGGAGGACGATGAGTCTGTGAGATCGACTGGGCGTTGTGATTGTTGATGGCGATAGCAGGGTGATGCAAATCTGTCTTTCTGGCAGTGAGAGAAGAGGACGGCGACGATGGGGGCAGCTCGGGTCTTAGCACCCGAAGATGTGAGAAGTCGTTGAACCGAGGAGTCTCGTCGACCTGGAGTTGGAGGTACCGGAGGTAGCGAGGTTTGGCGACTGGCGACGAGCCGACGGTTGGTCTCTTGGCTTCTCCAATCGATTGAAGGTGAAAATCAGAAGGTCGGATTGGAGATCGACTCTACTGGCGGCTGCGGCCGTGATTGAGCTATAAGACTATTATGTTTGTTCTATGTTCTTGTTATGTACATCTTCTTCTTGCTGCTTTTCCATTTGTTTTTCCAGCATGTGCCCAGAATTTGCAGGTAAAGCAAGTCTTGTTTCTGGGTTTTGTTCGGTTTGATTGCCATGGGAAAGGGTTTTGAATCTGTAATAGATTCGAGCTTCTTATGATTTGGAATCTCTCTTGTCTAAAGGATTCTAAACGATTCAGTTGATTTATAAGTGTAGTTCTATCTGCAATCAATTTAGCTGTTTTAGTTAGCTCAAGCCCTTGAGACAATGAAGATTAAATGGGCTCATGTTTGAATTAACCTTGGATATGGTCTTTAGCAGGTCCGAATCGTTGCTGCTCAAGCCCTTACAACAATGGCAATCAGGTCTGGCGAGCCTTATAGGCTGCAGATTTATGAATTCTTAAATGTATTAGCACAAGGTGGTGTGCAGTCTAAATTGTCAGAAATGTATGAGTAATGGGGAAGATCAAGGTGCCAGTGGTACTGGTCTTGGGGTGTTGATTAGTCCCATGATAAAGGTTATTGATGAGATGTGCAGGGCACAAGATGAACTAATCAAGAGCTTCAGTAATAATAATGTGTTTGTCAAATAAGTTGTTATGTTGATATAATTTGATTTTTTGTTGTTGCAGGGATATACACAACCATGATAATACGAATAAAGAATGGACCGGTGAAGAATTGAAGAAACTTTATGAAACCAATGAGAAGCTGCTAGACATTGTTTCACTCATCTGCTATGTTCCCAGAGCGAAGTATCTACCCCTGGGACCAATAAGGTTAGAGATCCTTACACCCTTTTAAGCTAGTTATGCTTGGCCCCTTAACAATGACCTCCTCATTTGTAGTGTACTACTGTGTATGTACGGAAACCTTCTAGTTTTGGGGTTATAGTAGTCCACTGCTTGTTATAATTTTTGTTTTCCATCGTATGAATGAGTTATCTTTATGTCAATATAGTAACTGTGAATTAATTTTGAGATATAGTAAAGGTTGTACAAAGACAACTTCAAATTGAAAGCACCTACTATTTGTAGTGTTTGCTGGTATGTTTGTATTATTGATGAGGCTTTAGAAACTTCCATTGTTCTGTTTTATTTCCTGAATATGTAATGGGCATAAGGCACTGTAAATGGTTGAATCACTGCTTATACTAATTTTATATCGATAGGGAAGTAGAGTATTTTTTCTTCTGCAGATAATCTGTTGCTAATAGCAGATCTGAAGTCTGTGAAGCTCGCAGATTTTGGGCTGGCAAGGAAGAAACTGTGGCTGAGATGATGACTGCAGAGACAGGGCCTGTTGTCTGATGGCTCCTGAGGTTAGTGCATACATTTCTTCTCATACAGTGTAATTTTGAATGTCTGGAAAGAGTCTCACTTTTTGGAAAATGACAGTGCAAAGTTTGTAGACTTTGGTTAGAGTGAGAAGGAAAGTCATGTGCTAATTCAAGTTATTTTGGTTTATAATGGTTTGTTATAGTACCTCTAATATACTTTGAACAGTTAGTTTCATTAGTTTAATATCTAGTTTTCAGTTTTCACAACCCATGGAGAAAGACTTGAACGCAAGTATACTTTAAAAATTTCTCATTGAAATTGTTTAACTTGTTGCAGTCTGCAGATTTTTTTATTATTGTTGCAGTTTTGTAGATTTATTTTGTTTGCTTATGTTTTGTTGCAGTTTGTCAGTCCGATTTGCAGAATTTAGTTTCTGTTGCTGTTATTCTAGAGGAGGTGCTTAAGTCACTAATTTATGGAATTTCTGCTGCAGGGGTTGGTTGCTCTGATTTTGCTTAAAGCCATGTGCGAAAGTTGCAGCAGGTACTAGCGTTTGAGGCCTCAACTACTGATTTAGTCTATTAGTAGGTAGATTTGTGCCCATCTCAGAATAGTTTCATCTTGATCTTGTACTTCTATGTATCTCTATAGCAAACCTATAGGTTTTGGGGTTAATAATCCTTTCTATTTGATGTAGGTTTTCTCTACAGATTGTATTAACATATAAGCGGCAGCAACAGTGACAACAATAGGCCACCGTTATCGAGGGATTCAAATTTCTCATATTAGTTTGTTTAGGACACCAAAAATAGTTAGATGTGTAACTAGTATTTGTTTGATCGGTATTTCATGCTACAAGAATATTAATTTTTTCAAATATCTATTATTCAGTACATTGAAGAATAAATCATATTGTTCACATTATACAATTATGACAAAATACGTTTGTCCTAATATTAAGTTATGACAATATATGTTCATCATATTATGCAGTTATGACAAAATATATTCGTCATACTATGCATTTATGACAAACTTTGTTCATCACAATTATGTGATGTCAAAATATACAGATGCAATATGACAAACAATTCTATCAAAATAAGCAAATTATGACAAAATTAATGACAAAATTTGTCGTCATAACATCCCTGTTTGTCACAATAGATAACCCAGAACCGCAGCTATACTGAAAGCAAATGTGACAACCTTGTTTTAAACTTTTGTCACATTTGACCTATCTTGACGGCGATAAAATGACAAACCTTTGTGACAACATATTTTGTCATATTATACATAATATGACAAAATGAGTATCTAATATGACAAAATTGTCTCGTCATAATAGGCCGAATTTGTTGTAGTGGCAGTGCAGGGTTTTTGCTTTCAACTATGGACGGGAAAATTGAGGAGACTAGAAAAGTGGCGGCGGCGGTACGGATGGCGGCATCAGCGGGACGATAGAGATTTCTCCTCTACATCCTCTCGTCTTGACCTGCAAACCCTCGACGCCGTTGACTTGGCTGAGAATGGTGATGTAAGTGGCGTCGGAGTGTGGGGTGAATCCCAGCACCAGCTCCGGTTGCAAGCAAGGAGAGTATTATATAATCTCTACCAACACAGCCCATCCTTCATCTTCATCGCAATCTCTTTTCCTTCATCTCCTGTGCCTCTTCTTTCGCCCTGAGGAAGAAAGCAGAGTTGTTGATTGACTCAATTTTTAGTAAGGTGAGTAAAAAAAAGAAGGTTGGGTTATGGTTTGGGCTTCGGTTATGATTTTTGAACGGGCGGGTAGGGGGTTTTATTCTATGATGATGTGGCAGGTTAAATTTGGCTGATTAGACACTTCTGTTAGCCACGTCAGCAAAATATTGACGGTGTTAACGGAGGCTGAAGGAGACTATCGGAGAGTGACGAAACGTGAAATGTTTAACCACTTTCAGTAACCACAAATGGAATAAAATACTTTTAGTGACCAAATGTAAACTTTTTAGCACTTTCAATGACCAACCTTGCAATTTACACCAACAAAACTTATGTAATTTTATTTTAGCTCACTACTTGAACAAGCATTCGAAAAAAATAAAGAAAACGCAAATTAAATACACACATAACATTAACACACACCTCCGCCTTCCTTTTCCATAATCATGTGATTCATGTCAAAAAGGAAAAAGAGGACCGAGAAGCATCGGTTTTATTGTTAGCTATCACAATACACGCTGTTTATTACACAAACAACACAAAACGCTGTAAATCAATCGCCATTAAATCATCCCCACTGACTCGTTACGCATTTCCGGCTGCCGCAACAGGCGCCGGCGGCACATCAACAGGCACTGCTTTCTCGTCACCACCGCCGAGCTCCCTGTCATCGCCGGAAAGCTCCTCCAGCGACTTCCCTTTCGTCTCCGGCACCAGGAACGTGAAGAAAAACCCAAGCAGGTTGACAAGCGACAGGCCGATCATCGCCTTCTTGATCCCGTTCGAATCCCCTGACTGCGTGTAGCTCTGCACCACGAAGGCGCCGATTATCGCCCCGGCCTTCCCCGCCGCCGCCGACACCCCGTGGCAAGTCGATCGGAACCTCGCGGGGAAGATCTCGGCGGGAACGATGAACGTCGTGCTGTTGGGTCCGAAGTTCGCGAAGAACAGGGTCAGGCCGTACAGAACGGAGAACATCAGACGGTTGCCGCCGCAGAATTCCTTGACGGAGTCGGCGGCGCAGTAAGTCTTCTCCCCTCTGAGGTCGTGGTACTTGAGCCCCAAAATCGCCATACAGATGGACATCAGGAGGAAGCCCACCAACTGTATGATGAAACGCCCGATTTTGTCGATGAAGTATACAGTGAACCAGTAGCCTGGAACGGTCGCCAGGAGGGCAATTATGGTCATCGCCTTGGCCAGCTGGTAAGTTTCCTCCAGAGCGTTCATGGTTGAAGCTTTGTTCAACAATCCACTCGCTGTGTAGACATCCTTCTGTGCCAATTGCAGGCTGTAGAACCCTATGTCGAGCAAGAACCATGTGGTAGTCGTCCCCAGGAGATGAAGCCCATGTCGGCGGGAAAACTCGGAGGAAAACAGCCCAAAGGAGGATTGAGGTCTACCAGCTGCTGCTGGGGATTTGGGGTTTGGGTTTGATTCTGGATCAATTGAGAAATCCTGTTGCAGAACTTTGGCCATGTCGTTAGCAGCTTTCTTGTGGTTGCCCTGAACTAAAGCAGTGTACCTTGCAGTTTCTGGCATCTTCATCCGCCAATAGAATGTCAATGCTGCAGGGACCGCGCCCAGCATCAGGACGAGCCTCCATACGAAGTCTGCTTCCGGCTGAGTGGACAAGACGAAGCCTTTGCTGAAAGATGGAGCTGGGTAATTGTGCAGGAAGATTTTGGTGACGATGAGGGTAACAAATGCCGCGAAGAGAATACCCATCCCCTGCATCGCAAACACTGCGGCAATGAACGCTCCTCTGGTTTTCTGGTTGGAGTATTCAGACATGATCACGGCCGAGAGTGGGTAGTCTCCTCCGATGCCGAACCCAAGCCAGAACCGGAAGAAGCAGAGGGTACCAATCACGCTCTTGGGTGTGGAGCCAAAGGAAAGGCCAGAGCATAGAGCACAGCCCACCATGGTCACAAGGGTAATCCCATACACTCTTTTCCTGCCGAGTTTGTCTCCAAGCCATCCAAAGAAGAGCTGTCCAGCTAGAGTCCCACACAGAGCGACTCCAGTTATGGCATTGTTGATGTCTATGGGGACCTTCCCCGGTCCGGGGGCAGAAGGCTTAGGGAGTGCCGGGTCGAAGTAGTAGAGTCGGCCGATGAGCTTCGTGACGGCAGTGATGCAGAAGAGATCGTATGCGTCAGTGAAGAACCCCATTCCTGCAATCACAATGGCCTTGAAATGGTAGAGCTGCGTCTTGGCATTGTCGAGGGCCGAGAAGACCTCCTTCGTCCCGCCGTCAACCATCGGAGGCAGTGAGGTATGTAAGTAGAGTTACTTCTAGCTTCTTTCTAGTTAGTTTGGCAATTCAAGCCGACTTGGTTTGGTGAGTGAAGGTTTAATGAATAGGGCCATTATATAACACATAGAAGGAGTGAAGGCTTACTGAGCTTTCAAAGGGGAAATGCTTCAGATATGTCTGGGAGCTTTTGCCTTTGTCTTTACATGTGCGCATATTATTTATCACAAGAAATCCTCTTCGTTCTTCCCGACTTACTTTTGCCATTACATTCACAGTGATGGGAAGGGGAATTAGCAGATGAGACCTTGGTTTTATTCGTGGAAAATGCTCAATTGGGATAGTGGTAAACCCTAGAATATGCCTTCTGGCTTCTGGTGCCCCTTCCGGGGCTCAAATGGGTAAACATGTAAATTATGAAAAGAGAGAAAGCCTTGAGATTAATGAGACCATGTCTCGTTAAGTTGTTCAATTAACGAAATTTGTTAACTTGTCTTTTTTGAAGTCAGGTTTAATTAGCAATCATGTTGAGTTATGCATGTACTTAGAAATTTTTCATCTGATTAGTTCTCTTGTGGTACCTATTGTTAGAGATAGATTAGGAATAATCTTATATTTCCTTGTCCATCTAGTATAGTTCTTAATATTTTCGTGTCCTTTTAGTATTGTGGTTTTCTTACTTATTGTCCAAGTCTTGTAATCTATATAAATCCCTTTGTGGTTTCATAATAATATACACGACTATTCTTAAAACTCCTATACCTATAACTATAAGTGGACAGCGATTTGAGTCCACAACGAATAGGTGTTTAGATTGAATTGGATTACCATTTGAAAAGATAAGGCTGGATCGATAAATAGGAATACATTGAGTTTGCAAAGCATTAAAAAGGTATATGTTATGTTCGTTCGGCAACAAGAACTTGAAGAGGCTATAGGTTGATCATTGACAGAGTTCAAGGCTTCGGCTGTTCAATGTGGACAAGTTTCATATCATCCCTTGTCTTTTATTCTTCTGGGATTAACCGTAATTGGCATGATATATCGTTTGTTGCTTTTAAGATTGATGAATCATATGTTTTTTTTCTTTCTGTACATGCAATGGCCTAAGGGACAAAGCTTGCCTCACAACATATATTCTTTAGGATATGCTATCTAATATAAGACAATTTTTGTGGGCTTTTTCACTGATTCCGTAATTCGACAATTTGGATTCTGAAAATAATCATATATATTATCTAATTTGCGGTATAAAAAAACCAAAAAAGTTTAGGTGCCTTCTATTACTTCTATCATTGTTAATCACAGAATTTTAGTATTCAGACAAAATATCTAGTTTAAGTGAAGTTTGAATTGTGGGGCGGAGGGTCAGAATAAATTACACAAGAAGTCTATGTCGAGAGATGTGAGAATAGACGATAGGACCAATTATATGGGGCGAGGAATGAGTTTATATTCTGACAAATGAATAGAAAAAGGGTGAATATAGGTGAAAGTAACATCCACGCTAAGGTATCCTCTACTCGCAAATAGTACATGTCACAAATTGTTTGGTTGAGAAGACCCGATCAAAATTATCATCCCTAGAAATTAAAAGTTGTCAGAAAAATACTATGAGAGTTGCATCAAGGACAATTATCATATATGCCACCATTAAAGAACTCATGAAATATGAGCAATTTAATGGAGATATATAGTGAAAATCATCCTTCTTTTTGTAGTCCTCTCAATAAATATGTTGGGTTTCTAAAATTTCAAGAGCATAGAAAACAAAAAATTAATACATCTACACGTTCATGCAAAAGTATTAATACAAAATCATAGTCAAGTATGATGACCCATACATTTTTCATGAACATGTACACCTCTCTTCCTTTTCCTCTTCTTCTTCCTCTTCCAATCCTTTTTTTTTTAATCAAACTTGCTTTACATTTTGTTTGGCTGAGAGCACTAAGAAAAAAATAAGGGCAAATCTCTAACCAAAATAATCACTTGCACTTGCTTTTTTGTAATACTATGAGGGTAGACTATCAATGTTAGCAATCTTCGTTTTGAGCTCTAGCTTGTCCGCACCAACAAGTTTGTCCAATTGTTTCCCTTCTTTCAGGAAGAAAAATGTGGGTGTGGCCTTGACTTCCCATGTCGAACTCATTTCCTGTAACGATCACAAGTAATATGAGATTAATTCTTCAAACAATTTTTTAATAGTGTTATGGGGGATTGGTTATCAGAGTTCAATTACCGCGAGTGCATCTACGTCAACGGTAAGAAATGTGATAGAAGGATATCTGTCGGCAAGCTTGCAATAGGGTCGAGCTATCCTTCTGCAAGGACTACTCCAGGAAGAGCTGAAATTGAGGATGACAATCTTGCCGGCCTTCTTGGCCTCGAGGAGCTTGGCGTCCCATTTCTGGATCGTGTTGATGAGTTGAACCCTTCCCGTAGCTAGCTCTATGTGATGATTTGGGTCGTCGGCATTAATCTGATCTTGATCGTCTTCGCCGTCAGCACCGTTACAACACCCAAAATTGCAACAATAACTACTGAATATCTGCAGCCAAACCCAAGTTTACATCATTAAATCTCAAAAAGGACAGGTGGATTTTAAATGCAACAGTTTGGGATCTTAAAAGTGTGATGAATTTACCTTTGGCCAGCAACATCTTGCTGTCATAGCGTTGAGTAATTAGATAATGTTAGTGTAGTATGCAATTTGCCCCTGAAAATGTTTGTTTTCCTACAAATGAAAGAAAGAGGTAGACATTTAAATTAACTAATAATTAGTAGTATTGCTTATGTCTATGATCGCCATCGAAATTATAATTTTATTCTCAATCAAAGAAAGAGTGAACATAATCAACAACATTGTTTTCAAAACTTTTTGTTGTTTTTGGTGACATTTTTCTGATAATAAAAAATTGTTTCCTTATGGTAAAAGAATGGAACAGGAAAATTCCACAAAGCGATTCAAAATCAATATAATCACATTCCAAATACTCTCGAGAATACATTCATGATAGAGATGTAATATTTGAAGGGGTTCTTTGGTTGTGTTGATTTTTTTCAATTTTGATAATCAATCAACCTACTCAAAAGAACCCTTCATCTCGATGGAGAAAATAGACCAAAAGAACAAGATTGTAAAAGGGGTAAAAAAAAAAAGAAGGGATCAAAGAGAAGAAGCCATGTTAATTAAGTAATGTACCTTTGAAAAAGAAAATCCTGGAAAAATGGGATGCAATTGCGTTTTGATCATCCCAGGATTTCTTCAGGAGCAAAAGTTACATCATTGAATTGGAAGCCATTTTTTACCCCCTACTAGAATTGCCAAGGCAGCAAGGGGTAAAAAGGAAAGGTCCCCGTTTTACAAATCTTCTTGCCCTTTTGGATATGGGTTGTTAAGAATAAATATCTTTCCTTTTACTCAAACTAACATTAATTTTTTTATTTATTATAATGATAATTAGGAATTTAATTTATGATGGAAAGGTCGCTCAACTTGAATTGGTTTAGAATGAAAGACATAATGTACTCGATGTTCTTATCAATAATCCCATTAATGTATTAGTTCGTTACTTCCTAATTCTAGGGATGCATGTGTAAAAATTTTGATCGGTTCAGTTCATTTGTACTGAAAATTCAAAATTGTTCTACCCAAAAAAAAATTCAAATTTGTGTTTTAAAAGTGAAAATGTGATACTCATTTTGTACTGAGCAATTTTTTTTCTCCTTTTCAGTAATTGTTGTTGAATTTTATAGCTCATCCTTGGTCAAAAACAAAACCAAGCTCTAAAAAACATACTAATATAGCAGTAACAGGAAGACACAACAACAAAAAAACACTGTACATAGTAAGCAAACATCATAACCAATAGCACATCATTAATTCCTTTAGTTGTACACGAGTCAGAATTGTTCATTATCACCAATATTCAATGAATGCAGAAGTCAATCAACCCTAATTTCTACAGCCAACCGGATCTTAGAAATGAGCAGAAAAATTGATGGCACTGATCGAAATTGAATAAAATTCAGCAAGAATGACATGGTTAGATAACGGCCTAGCAAGGAAGGGAAAAAGAGTTCATGAAGGGTCCCCTCTTTCTTCTTCCTGGAACATAGCTACAAATTGCTTCTGTTGGATTGTATCAACTATCAACGCATTTATTAACAGTTTGGCCACCTCGACTTGAAACGAAACCTTTCATGGGGTGGCTGTTGGAAGTATGGGGCGTAGTCGGGAAAAAACTCAACTCTGCTCAAGACCAAAAAGGACACAGACAATTCTGGTGCTGTGCAAAAAAAAAGTAGATGAGAAAAGAACCCAGCAGAACTATGAGCCATCCTTCTCGAGCTTTTCGATTTCTTCCTGCCGCTTCTTCTCAGCCTCCTGAAGCTCTCTCTCGGCATCCTCCTCTTCCTCTATTTGGTCGAGATCATCGAATTCCTTGGTAGCAGACATAGCTCTGATCACAGGATCTCGTAGCTCGCCTATGATCCCACCACCAACTTTGTATTCTTCTTCATCTCCGATCAAAAACAGTCGCTGGTCAGGTCCTGATGCCATTGGGATGTCAACTGCCAATAACCTCATATCATACTGCCACAGGAAAGACGAAGAAGAACAACATAAGCAGACGGATTATACCGTGATTTTTAAGGGTAAGCATGAACTCTAGAACAGAGGATGTTCTTCGACTATTAACTTCCATCCATACTTTCAGGGGTGGTCAAGTATAAAAGGACTTCATATTCTATATTCTTAAACCCACCATTGTCAAACAGATGCAGAGCATGTTTCCATGAGCAACACAGTTTCTCTAGCGAGGGATTGCACAAAATCTTTTGTAAGGCTACGCAAAGCATCCCAAGAAATGGATGGATTTGAATTCTCAGGAGCTTCTGGATCTCTCACTAGGATGAAATTAAAATCTGGACATTTTGAAATCGCTCATCTAAATATAAACGTTTTCAAATATATCTTCTCTCATTCCACTCAGTTCAGATCCAACCATTATAACATCACACACTCAATCTAACATATCACACTCATGCCTTCTCAAAGGGGAAAAATAATTGTCTTATGGGAGTAGGTGGCGGAGGGTTAAGTCCTTTATCCAGGTGCTCACACAATCGGGCATGACAAATTACTCTTAAAGAAAAATGTGTTCCTTGGTTTACTTCACTATCGTAAAAACAGACATAAACTCACAAAGAACTTCAATGACATCCACACAGAAACTTTAGAAGTGAGTTCAGCTATAACATCCAAAACCTAGAAGTAAGTTCAGTTATAACATTCAACTCTACATTAGGTAACAGGACAAAGAGTAAAGAAGCAAACCTGGCCCTTTTTCTTCTTAACTTCAACACTGACTAGACCTTTTCTCTCCGAACCTTGTACTGGGAAGATGAGAAAACAACGTTTGTTGCTACGTGTTGGCTTGAAATTCTTCATTCTAATCCCTCCCCCTGACATCACATAAGCTCTTAAGTCAGTTCCAGCAAGAGGAGCACCCATGACTTCCAGAATCCCGGCATCTGTATTTAGCCGAGTCATAACCATTCTATAAACCTTATCAGGGTTAATTGTAAGTCTTGAGCGAACATATAGACCCTGCATTAACAAATCAACAATAAACACAAAACAGGAAATGGTAAGTCGACTGATTTTGAGGCAACAACACTAGTATTGATTAGTGGTTACCTCACAATCCACATAAACCAACAAATTCAATAAGATGACCAATTCAAGGAAAGAAGACAATGATACAACTGAGACATCAAGTACTGCGATCATTAAGTTGATTGGGGTTCTTAAAAATCAATAATACTAAACTATATCCATCTAATGGACTTTGAGTTGATTGGGGTTCTTACGTACAGCAGCCCCAGCGAAAGTATGGGGTCCTAAACTTGAAGAATCATACTAAAGCCTACGCATCTAATGGATTGTTTGCCCCATTTCTTTGCCTAGTGGAGTCAGCGGACCCCTGTCCTCAACCCTTCCCTCAACCACTGAATGGCACAAACTTATAAGCTTCTCACTCTGGAGGATATTTTAACTATTTCATTGGGCTTTACTTGGAAAAAAGATCACCAAAACATTGAAATATCGAAGGATCCATAATTGCTGAAATCGTAACTCAACAGGAACTCAGGAAGATCTCAAACATCAATGAAGTTTCTGTGTTCTTATTCATTGTACCTGTCAGTTTCATCAATATCCATAACTTGTCTAAATTTCCCAGGTTGTACCTTCTGTTTCTTCCACCTCGCCATCCATAATAACCCTAATCAACTACCTCTTTCTTCACTAAACATTGGTTCTCTTGCTGTCCAAATTCTTTAAACTATTTTCCCCACAATTGCTAGTCTTCGTATTCCTTCAAATTCTCGCCTTCATAGCAATCATTATTTACAAAAGTCGTGGTTGCCGTTATTTAGTTACATCTTCCATCCAAAAGTCAAGCATGATGCTTTCTCGGAATATAAATGGGAAATGAGAAGAAAATAACATAAACCGTATGCATTAAAACTTAATCTCACATGTTGAACAAGGAACGTCTGGGTACTACTTACGAATACGAAAATGTATTCCATCAACACAAACCAACAAATACAAAACACAAATCCCGGATTATCTGATAATGAAAACATTATTGCAGAGGATCGGTGAATAGTTTCCCACATTTCATAAGGCATATGTATACTCCTTTCATTATTTGTCTGTTCTTACAAGTTTAGGTTCAATCGGCTGTGAACATGACAAGAAGTGACCAGGAAACACGATGACTTCTGAACAGTATACTTTGCAAAACGAGTACATACTCACTGCGATGAATAGCTACAAGAGCAGTTGCATTCACCAACACATAGACAATTTCTCTAACTCATAACACAAAGAGCATACCACATCCAAACTAATCAACTCAGCCACATAAAGAACGATCAACTACGAATAAATAAACTTCTCCCAAGTAGCTGCTGCAACAATCACGTAGCAGAATTCAAATAGCTGGAAAACTCAAATTAAGAATGGGAAAGAAGAGGCCAACTCACAGCAAAGGCAACGATTGCAGCTGAAAGGGCGAGAAAGCCATACTTGGCCATGCCTTCAGAGAGATGAACAAAAGTGTTGGCAATCCCAAACATAACCCTCCATAGCAAAGCACACAGCACGACTGCTCCAACCCCAAACAGGAAAAGAGAATTCCTCTTCCAGAAAGCATCCAAGTGGAGACCTAAGGCTTGACGGTACTTAGACAGAACAGAGGTCACAGCCTCGGCCGGCTTCTCAAATGCCCGTTTGGCGAACTCTCCGCCGACCCTTTTCCCCACACTAGAAGGAGCCTTGAATGAATAGTGACGGAGGCCATAGCAGTAAGTCCTGGCAAGGAACGAAGTCGAAGGATTCGGGGGCTTTGGCAAAGTTGAGGACGCGGGTTGTGAAGCAAATGGAGAGAACTTGAGGGAAGAAGGATGGGAAGTGGAAGTAGAGAACTGGGAAGGACTGGAGTGAGGTCGAGCGAGCGAGCGTGCCGGAAGTGGAACCCGAGATGAGCCGCCGGCGGAGGAGCGAGAGTAGTGGAGCCGGAGAAGACCTTGGACGATTCTGTTGTGCGAGGGTTTTGACATTGGGTTTAGATTCACTAATCACACAAACTCAACAGCATCAATTGGAAACCAAACAAAACGAGAACCAAGAATCGGAATTCAGGATGCCCGGAGCCGTAGTCGGAGGAAGTAGAAATGGGGAATTTTTGAGCTTCAGTAGTTCCAATCAAGGGCGTGGAGATCCCGCCCGGAGGCCGGACGAACGAGGGACGACAGAGGACGGAGAAGACAGCTGCTCTTAAGAAGTATCAAGTGGCCAAAGGCAGAAGCCCGCTCGCTCAGCTGCAGTCCTCTCTTCTTCACCGCCGCGGCTATTTGTTTGTTCCTGTCTTCTTCGACCAGCTCTGGATCTGTCGACTTTGGTGGGTTCGGACCTCGGCCGGATCTAGTTTGCCGCGGAAGAAACCGAACCCCAACCAACCGACTCTTTTTCTTAATGTTGCCTAGTATATGCCTATTCGCTATCACTTAGCGTGCGAGCGAGAAATGATATTTTAAAAAAGTTTTAATGTTGATTTAAAAGTGAAAGGATGATTGCCGAGTGAGATGGTAATTATTAGTTTAGTGAAATGAGGATTTGAGATACTGATAAGACAAAATTGATTACGTCAAAAATTAGGTAACGACTGTTGGAAACGATGGAAGGAGACAACTTATGATTTCACTGATAGTGTTTCGAGTTGGGTTGCGAATTGGTGGGTGAATCAAAAGAGAATAGATGAAAATCCAATTAATAA